GGCCCCCACCTTTCCCCTGAGAATCTTTGCAAAAGAGAATACCTCATACGCCTCACAAAACATTTTATAGCAAATTAACCTCCATGTGCCTAGCACCTGGTTTTGAACCATGCATCAGTACCGCTTCTACACTATCAGTACCCACTTCTACAAGTGGGTAATTTAATCTCCCTCTTGGACACTCGTTAAACTGGAACAACCAGCTATTTTCTTTTTCATGAAGTACCTCAAATGAGGAAACTATTAAGAATCTGCAGCCAAATCTTTATACTGAGTTTACAATTCTGACATGGGAAAAGCAACCCTTTAGTAAAAGCCTGGCAAACTGAAATCAAGTTCAAATCCCAGTTACACCAGTAATAAAGGCACAATCCCTACAAGACCTATGCAAAGTTAATTTCCTAGTAACTTTGTGTATCCATGGAGGATACATTCTAATGGAGGTACCCATTCTAATTCTTGTTCAGTAAAAAGCAGGTTTCAGATCTTTTAAATTTACAGTTCTATTCATCTTCCCTTTCAAAGTACAGATACCTGGCTATAGCACTTGTTGCTAGAGGACACGGAATGATTCGCACAAACATGTCTCAGTGATGTGATAGAAAAAAGGTACTTTTATTTTTCTGACTTTAATATTTTTAGATTCTTGACAATGACCAGGGATTGGATAATTAAGTTACTGCTTTCCCAATCACACTGGTCATGCAAAACGTCCATTAAAAGACGTTTCTTAGAAGGAATGTATAAACATTTATGTTTACAGTTACTTTCCTGGGAAAGTGGCTAAAACTATGAAAACAAGATTAGAAGGTTTAATTTTCAGGGTGACAGCACTTGCAACTCCTGTCCCACATATATAATTCAATCTACCCAAAGATAGCCAAGACTTTTCTACTGTCTAGGAGGCAGCTGTGCATTTTGTGTGACAGTTTGCAGAACACTTCCATAGGGCTGATTCACCTGAAGTATGATTTACAGTTACTGTTTGTTAGTCCTTTAACTCGGGGTACAGTGTTAGAAAGGTAAATTCTGCTTATCAGCCATGCAACGGTACACAGATGACCTGCACAGCCAGCATACACACCCCTACATTATGGACACAGAACAAAGCTGCTTTACTGGCAAGTCAGGAGAAACCATGAAAGTGAGGAGCAGTGAACTAATTTTGTCGAGGTATGACAGATGGGAGATCCTCATCCTCCTACCTCCTATTTATGCATAACTGCTTATATACATTTTAAGTCCTTATACCACCATATTAACAAAAATGGATACTCAGATGTCCATTTATTCAGTTATTCACATTGTCTTTCTCCAGCAAATAATTCAACATTAATTATGTTTCCTAGAACTTGTAAACGCATGGGCTATGATCATTAAACATACATGTATTGGGAAAGAGCTTCCTCCCTCTCTTACAAGCTTCTCCGGGTGCCTAGCATGAATGAGAAGAGCACGTTATCAGAATGCAGAACTGTGCCAGTGCATTGGCAACAGGTAGGAACAGTCTCACTTGTTCCATAACACTGGTCACATTGGGAAATGGTAAGAGAATATTTAAAACAGAATTCAGTACAGCTACAAGTTGTCTGTGAATTCTATTAATGGAATTATTTTAAATGCATAACTGTCTAAAGCAAAGCAGAAGACATAGAATAAACACAAGTATGACTCAGGCAAAGACAAAAATAGTACTGGGCAGGCTCTGGCAAGTAAAGGACAAATAAAAGGCGTGTAGTTAAAAATCTCTCAAATATTTTGAAGTCAGAGTCAGTTTATTTAAGTTAGTTATGAAAATAATGTTTTAAAACAGCTCTGTTTTTATCTATCTCTTGGCACATGACAAAAATAAATCAATTAAAAAGATGAGAATTTTCTACTGAAAAAAGAGGGCCCAGCAGTAGCTCAAATTAAAGACTGGCAAAGAGTGATTCAAGAAAAAAATTAATGATAGTAATGGGCCTAATTAAAATACTCGTATCAGTTACTGAAATCTATTATTTTTTTTCACTCAATGTAAACAAAGAATGAAGAACATAATTGAATATTCATCTTGATTATTTAATCCAAAAGACTGTTCTGTGCAGAACTCCTATTTTTACTAGCTAAACATTTGTTAATGGAAATAGAAAGTCAGTGGAAAGTTAAAGGTCACTGAACAATTGAACCTAGAATTGGTTTTTTTGGGGCAGGTAAACTGGTTCCAAATTTAGGATTTATTTCTATGGAGGACAACTTTATCTTTAGAAAACCCAACTCTGGTGTACAAATGAAGTAGCATTGCTGATCTTATTTACATGACAATTCTTACCAATTCAGATGCAAATTCAGATTCAAAGACAGCAGGAATACACCCTAGCTTTGTTTTCAAACACAATACAGATTGCAAAAGTGAACTGTTTATCCATTGAATTTTTTCTGAAGAGTTAATACAGTGATTCAATATTCTTTTGGTTTCACAAAATTTTTAACACTTTAAGTAGAATCTTTGACAAGCATACAAAACTATTCCAAACAATTTACATTTAATTTACCCAGAGAAAATAATAAATACGAAAATAAGGTGATGGCAAATTATAGAGCCATCAAGTAAAAGCTTAATGGGGAGCCAGGCATGCATGTCTGAAAATTGCAGCAACAGTAATACTGTCTTGTGGAGCAGAATGGGTTCCATCAAATTTAAATCTCTAGGTTTGATCAAGTGACCCACCTAGCAGATGAGAGAAAGGCTGTGGATTTTGTCTACCTGGACTTCAGTAAAACCTTTGATACTCTCTCTCCCACAGCTTCTTCCTGGAGAAACTGTTTGCTAGGACTCACTGCTGGGGCTGGTTCTGTTTAATGTCTTTATCAATTATTTGGATGAGGGGATTGAGTACCACCTCAGTTTGCAAACAACACCAAGCTGGGTGGGAGAGTTGATCTGATGGAGGGCAGGAATGCTCTGCAGAGGGATCTGGACAGACTGGGTCAATAAGCTGAGGCCAGTGGTATGAGGTTCAACAACGTCAGGTGCTGAGTCCTGCCCTTGGGTCACAACCCCATTCACTGCTACTGGCTTAAGGTAGAGACAGACTGGAAAACTGCCCAGCCGAAAAAAGATTAGGGGTCAGCAGCAGATCCTGACGTGGGGCGCTGAGGAGTGTGGAGCATATCCAGAGAAAGGCAGTGGAGCTGATGAAGGGCCTGGAGCACAAATCTTATGAGAAGCAGCTGAGAGAGCTGGAGGTGTTTAGCTTGTAGAAAAAGGAGAAAAGGATGTTCAGGAGTGATCTTATCCCACTCTTACAACTACCTGAGAGTGCAGCACGCAAGGGCCTCTTCTCCTAGGCAATTAGTAACTGGAGAAGAACACATAGCCTCAAGATGTGCTGGGGCAGGTTCAGGTTGGACATGAGAAAGAATTCTGTCACTGAAAGAGTGCTTAAGCATTGGAACAAGCTAACCAGGGAGCCGGTAGTGTACCATTCCAGGACGTGTTCAGTAAACAACTAGACATGCAACTTAGGGCTACAGTTTAGTTGACATGGTGGCATTTAGTCAAAGTTAGACTTACAGGTCTTTTCCAACTTTAATAACTTTATGATTTGTAGGAAATTCAGTCTTAGGAATATACCTTTTAGTGGGACAATCCATGGACTTAGAGAAGGTAACAAACACATACCAGTCTAAACACTGTGTGGAAAGGCAAGGACATCAGAGGTGTTGTAAGTGAAAATAAGCTTATAAGTTTGCATAAATCATATTGTGTTCATGTAATATTGTTGACAAAGCAATACAAGCAATTAATTGAGTCACAGATTACTGACATTTATGCAGAGAGACAAGTTTTCAGACAAAGATAGGCTCCCCAGTCATGTATTTTTATAGGCTACTAAAAAAGTATTTACTACTAAGTAAGCTGTACAGCATGACTTCCAGGATCCAATCACACAGCTAAAATAATCACCAAAAAATTTAAAATATAATAGTTATCCCCTCTGTAAGCAGGAAAGGGCTGTAAAGCATTAAAACAGACTTCCTCTCTGAAGTGTTCTAAGAAGTGTGTGAAGGACCACTTGAGGACGTGATGTAATGGTGAACGTAGTGGTGGTGCTGAGCTGATGTTTGGACATGAAGGACTTTTTCAGCCTTAAAAATTCTCTGATTCTATGATAAAAGCAAGGTGAATAAGAAAAAGCTCTTCAAAATAATTTAGTGGGTAGCAACATATAAGCATCTCTAGATCCTATCCTGTTCCCTGTAATTATCAACTAGATAATAATTGTTTCTTATCAAAACTTAAACTCTGCTATTTAAATCTGCCTTGCCTGTTGCTATACTCCTATTACTGAACAGATCCAGTCACTTCCAGAGAATGAAGCTAAGATCACTCTTAAAAGCAATCACTACTTCATTTGGAAGCCAATGCTTGCCTACATGCACATTGGAGAATTTGTACTTGACTCTTTATCTCTAGCGTATCTTGAAAGTTAGAACACTTGGTACTTCACCAACATTGTGTCTCCTCTTTTTCACCTTTGAAATGATCTTTTGTGCTCTGTTATGCATGTATTTCAGTGTATAGAAAAGCATTTTAGTTCAACTTCACATGTGTTCAGCTACTTTAGCCTTTGTAATTCTACAATTGTAATAACACATCAATATTTTTCAGAGAGAATTCAGAATGTAAAGATTTGGTGGATATTTTCATCTAAGTTTCTGGGGACTGGGGTGGGAAGGAGTGGGCACTGTTTTTCAGTGCAGGAAGAGGACAAGTTTCCAAAGTGATGCACTGTTTCACAGGTTCATACCAAGTCAGCCATTTTTTTCCATATGCCTACTGACAATCACTTTTCATTTATACATGTAGATTATTAACACAATCCCCCCTCCATGACCCAACCAAAACCAGGAATGAATCTCATTTGTTTCAGTCTAAGAACCTCCATACTCACAGTGTAAAAAAAAAAACAAACCAACTTAAAATCTATGTGTATAATTTTCAGCCTACCTGAAGGTCATCTTCTATTTATGAATGTATATGCATACTTTGAGATCTCTCACTTTCCATTTTCTCCCTGCACCAATAAGTTCCATTAAGAAGGACATCCAAAGCAATGGGGAGTTCCTGAAAAATCATCAGTACTTTAAGCAAGACAAAAGGTAAAGAATAATCTTCAGAAACAAATATGAGATTCCTCCTTCTTGGGGCAAGGCTATGAAGATATCCCACAGCAGATGATCATTTCCACAATGGACTTAGGACACTTTTTGAGGGAGAGAACAGATCTCTGCTATTTAGAAAATGATAAACAATTTTAATTTTGTACAAATAGGTCAATAAGTAATTCTACACACTTCAAATTCTTTAGAGCAAACAAAACAGATTAATCTCTTAAATCTGATTTTCATTTCACACAGTACTTGAAAGACTGGAGATGCCTTTTTGCTTATGCCAGTCAAAATTTCTTTTACAGAATATTTTCTTTAAAGCCAAATAGCAGAGGACAAGGTTGCTCACTTCTCCTCTTAAGTATCCTTATAAAATTCATAATGCTTTAATATGAGCTTCTGCAGTGTAAAAATAGACATCCTGTATTACAAACTCATACAAAATACATCAGTACTTTCAAAATTAATGCAACATCATTTTGGAAAGACAAAAATAGCAGTCAGTCAAATGACTACACCCTAAACTGTCACATGGTTAGCAGAAGTTTTCTTAAACAAAGCAGCCTATTTAAGTCAAGTATATGATGACATCTTCTAACTGTACTACAGGAACAAAGGTACTTAATATTGAGGACTACTTTGTGGTGTACTAGACTAAGGAAACAAGGGATACTTTTGTACTAAACTCCAAGGCATTTTAAATACTAGTGATTTTTGAAAATTATCCCCACAAAAAAAAAAAAAAAAAAAAAAAAAAAAAAAAGTGCATGTAATCTAAGAATAAATAAAAATCGATTTTATTTCTCTGGATTTTCCCATGTGCATATCACATGTACCAGAAGTTAGATCAGTCCTTCACAGCATTTTGTCAGGACACTTCATTGTATCATTTCAGGCTGAAGTGCTTTGAGGTTATTGCAGTGAACATGCATTACACTTTTTAACTGCTATGGTAATTTCACACACACATAACCAACCTGCTGTTCATTTTTGATGCTTGGTATTTTTGCCAAGGGATGTGATAATTGCTTACATTTATTTGGGATGAATCCATTGCCATGATTACTTCACAAAAGTCAGCTTATAATTGCAACAATAAAATCTGTGCAGAACCATAAACAGGTATTTTCTAGTGGAATACTCTGTGACAAACTTCAAACTTTTTCAGAGAGTAATTTTTGTTAAATATTGTGGTTTTAAAAGAAGAACTTTATAGTGAAATTATTATTATATGGACTACAGCCCTTCTGTTCTGAAACTGAAAGTGTAATTCCCCTGAAAATCATCTACAGAAGAGAGTGCTGGTCAAGCTGTCACATTATATCATATTATTATATCATATTATAGCTGTATTAAAGACAGCTAGTTTTCATGTACAGATGTTTTAAGCGACATCAAGTTCAATAATAATGATCTGTTCTTTCTACCATAACATTGGGATCATTACAGATATCTGCTGTATTGTTGTATATCATCCCTGGAATTCTGTATAAGTACAGTGCAGCTGTCAGCCATCAGACATTTCAACAGCCAGTAAACTAAAGGTAACTTATTCTTTCAGATAAAGTAGATTGCTGTCATTGGCTGAACAGGAGCTCTCACTGAAATTTCTTGCTTCTCACCAAGCATAAATGCTCAGTACTTTGCATGTTGAATAGGAAGGATGATGAATAAAGTTAGTCTTTTTATTTTAATCTCTAACTTGTTTCCCAAAACCTCGGAGACAAAATCTGCTTAAGATCGTCTCTACTAGCCCGGTAAAGCATTGTCTTTTACCCTGGTGATCTTAGCCTGAAACTGCACGCATTCAGTCATACTAAAACCCTAGTTCCCCCTAAGACATCATCTCACGTCACCTAGCTTCCCTCTCAGCAGAGATAATCAGCACATCTCCGTAGACCCTGTACAGAACACAGACTTACGTAATCTCTAGCACATGACGTTCATTAAAACGGAGGGCAAAAGGAAGGGGAGCTGGGCTGGGCTGGGCACCCCGCGGCCGCGCCGGGACCTCGCTGGCAGCGATCCAGAGTCACAGAATGGGTCAGGCTGGAAGACACGAGGTCATTTGGCCCAACCTGTCTGCTCAAGCAAAATCATCCAGGAGCACGTAGCACAGGCTTGTGTCTAGACAGTTCTTGAGTATCTCCCGTGGGGGAGACTCCACAACCTCTCTGGACAATCTGTTCCAGCGCTCGGTCACCTGCACGGCAAAGAAGTTCCTCCTGGTGTTCAGGTGGAACTTTTGCATCAGTTTGTGCTCAGTGCCTTTTGTCCTATCGCTCGGCACCACTGAGGAAAGCCTGGCTACGTCCCGTTGACACATGCCTTTTAGATATTCATACAGCGTCCACAACAGACCTGGAGCCAGACTCCGTTCCCGCTGTGCTGCAGCGCCCCGACGCCGGCGGCTCCCGCATTGTGCCCTATCCGCGTCCCGCTCCTGCCCCCACCCAGCACGGGCCCTCATGGCGCCCGAG